CAAGTATTCCCACTAATGAACTCTTTGTAACATAAGATAAACAACAAGAATAACAACGAGGTACCGCCTCGTGCACAATAAAAATCACAACCGAGGTACCTCCTTGTATATGACAAGAATCATGACCGAGGTACCGTCTCGTATTCACATTTCTCAATTTCAATCAGAATCTTTTTTTATACCACCGCGTGAGCCTTACGTTTAAATACTTTTGAAAATATTTTTTCCGAAATAGCTACACGTACTTTAGCCCAGCTTATGATATCGTGTGGCTTCACGTAATTCTTTTACAAGCAACACGCACATAAGTCCCACTTTATGCCGCCGCATGCACATTAACCCCTATCCTTATACCGCCGCATGCGCGTCAATATCACCTCATAATAATAACTCGCACCACAAGTGCCCAAATATTACAACTTGCCAAAACTCAACAATATCAATATTTCCATAACAGTAGCACGTGGCTCCGCCACAACGTATACAAGAATATCAACAATAACAATGAATGTAAATTCTCAACAAGAAAGATGTCTCAACAATTAACACTTCGCCTCAACGTGATAACGACTTTCACAACTTCAACACCAGTAACTCAACAATGAGAAAGATAATGTGTAATCACGATTAGGGGTGTGCATAGATCGGGTTGGTTCGGATTTTACAATTATCAAACCAAACCAATTGTGACGGATTATTAAAACTAAAGACCAAACTAAACCAATAAACTCGGGTTTTTCAATCTCGGTTTTTCTCGGGTTTTCGGGTTATTCAGGTTTTTTCTCTTGTAAAATCGCCGTAGCACAAAACATATAACTTGTGCTCCAAATATTTCTTTAATCCTAGTAAGATACAACTATATAAAGTATTTTTCAAGAAAATAATACAAAATATGAGATGTGTCTTGGCAATATCCTCAAATATTCAACAATAAATACAATAAAATCACGTAATATAAATATTGCTAATTAAAAAGCTATAATAAAAATAAACATAATCTAAAAGTACTAAGTCATGCTAAAATAAGTAAACTAATAAGAGAGTATAAATTACATGACTAAACGCTAAAAAAAAATAAAAATAAGTTATGCATTTTTATCTCAATCATTGCAAAATAAAAAATAGATATTCAATACATTGTCATTCCTAATATTAAATTGAATGTCTTTTGTTAGCATTAGTATTGATTTAATTTTGGTTTAGGCTTTTGTTAGTATTATTTGAGTTACTAATATTAATGGCTATAAAACTTATCGGAACATTCAAAAGTTCTAAGTCCAACCTTGAAATAATATCTTAAAAGATAAAAATATGAAAAAGTTTAAGAAATATTTATAAATTACATCACAATAAATATATTTATATATTAAATATATCTAAAATTTCTATATATGTATTGTCAGGTTGGTTTGGTTTCGGTTTGACTTTCTTTAGTTAAAACCAAACCAAACCAATTATGGTCGGATTTTTTTCCAACACCAAACCAAATCAAACCGAACCATAGTCGGGTTTTTTTTCTCGGCTTGGCTCGGATTATTGGATTGGTGCGGTTTGTCAGTTTTCTTTGTACACCCCTAACCACGATACTAAATAAGAGCAACTCACAATAAAAGGGATAACATATACCGATGACGTCAAATAAGGATAATCAACTATGAAAGAGATAGCATGTAATAATGATTTCAAGTAATGATAATCAATAAGAGATAACATGTAACAATAACTTTAATTAATGATAAATCAACAATGAAAGAGGTAACATGTGACAATGACTTCAGTAATGATAATCAACAATGTAAGAGATAACATGTAACAATAGCTTTAATTAATGATAAATCAACAATAAAAGAGATAACATATGAAAATGAGAGAGGCAACAAGTTCAACTAAAGCATAAGAGCAAAATATCAAGTAAGATGTGAACAAGTATTAACAAAGTCATTTAAGGCATGTGAAGATAGACTAACACAAATAAGAGTAGATTGACTATGAGCATTTAGAGCATGATATGACAATTCAATTAAAGCATGAAAGAGTCGAAGTAGCCTAAACCAATCAAATACCACGTACAACCTGTGTACCCACTCGTCACCTTGCGTATCCGGCTTTCACATAGTACAAATGACACAATCAATCCCAACTACTAAGGGGTAGTTCTCTCACACAAAGTTAGGCAATATACTTACCTCAACTAGGCCTATTCAACTCTCGAAAATAGTTTTTCCCTAAATTTCGCCCCCACACCGCTCAAATCTAACCAATATCAACTTAATATCATCAAACAATACAAGAAAAATTAAATTACAATAGATAAAGTTATGATCTTTACACTTTTTTTAAAAAGTCAATAAAATTCAATCCAGGACCCGTCCGGTCAAAACTCCGGTCCAATGGTATATTTTAATTACCCATGACCCTACTAGTTCATATATATGATAAGTTTAAATATTCGAGTAAAAATCGACTCTCAAAACTCAAATTCTTATTTTTTTAAAACTTGATAAAGTTTCAAAATTTTTCACTTTGATTCACATGATTTTGATGCTAAAATCTAAGATATATTGATGAAATATAGTTGGAAATAGATTAGAATTACTTACTCAAGGTTTGTAGATGAAAATCCTCTCTCCAAATCGACTCCTACCGAGTTTAGGGTTCTAAAATGAGAGAATATATGGAAAAATCCCATCTCCCAACCCTTTGTACCAACTGGAGTTATCGCATTTGTGACACAGGGATCGCATTTGCAAACCCTCGCAGTTGCGGACCAGGGATCGCATTTGTGAACCCTGACAGCCTCAATGATTATCGCAATTGCGATAGAGGCAATGCAATTGCGAAGCTGGATATACCGTAAAAGAGAACAAATATTTGCAAATGCAAACCAAGTCAAAAGCCTGTCGACTTCGCAAATGCGAAGGGGAAGTTGCAATTGCGACATCTGAGCCCCCCATTGTCACCTTCGCAATTGCGAGGCTGGTGCTCGCAATTGCGATAACTGAGGACCAGCAACACCAAGAATTAATTTTTAGTTCAAAACCTTCCAAAACATGTCTGAAACTCATCTGAGCCCTCGGGGCTCTAAACCAAACATCCACACAAGTCTAAAAATATTATACGAACTCGCTCGTGCGATCAAAATATAAAAATAACATCTAAAACTACGAATCGCACACTAAAACATATGAATTTTAAAGTAAAGTTGAAGAATCTCTAGAATTGCAACTAAATATCCGAATCCTGTCAAATCAACTCCAAATGATACCAAATTTTGCAGACAAGTTATAAATATCATAACGGACATATTCCAAATTTTAAAATTAAATTCCGAGCTCGATATCTAAAAATCAACATACAGTCAAAATTTTCAAACTTTAAATTGTCAAATTTTGGCAAAACAAAATAATCAATCTACGAACTTCCAAATTCAATTTCGGGTATACGCCCAAGTCCAAAAATATGATACGAAGCTATCAGAGCCATCAAAATACCATTCAGGGTCGTTTTTACAAAAGTCAAAATTTGATCAATATTTCTAATTTAAGCTTCTAAGTCAAGAATCAAAGGGTTCGAATCAACCCGAAAGCTTCTCGAAACGAAACTAATCAACCCCGCAAGTCATAAAATCACAAATACATATGTGTGAAGCTTCAAAAAGGGATAACACAACGCAACTACATAAAACGACCGGGCGGGTCGTTACATGAATAGCATTAGAATTGATGGACAATAGTTTTGTAATATTATTGCAAATAGTACACTATACCAATACTGCACCTTTCCACTAGAATTTATATTGTCTATGCTATGATATCAGTTACTGGGAAGCGTATTATGCTAACAGAAAGAATAAATAATTACAAGGAAAAACTTAGAAATTTCACAAGACAAGATTTACGTAGTTCGATAATTTGTCTATTTTATGGTCACACAGAGAATAGCTTTATTGATACTCAAAGAGAAAAGAGAAAGAAAAATATGATAGATGATTTACAAATAAAGAGCATATGCCTTTTTATAGGGAGAAGATTTACTAAAAAGTTTCAGCAGAGATGTGAATACGTGTCATTATGACATCACAATTCGTGAGCCGATTTCTTTCTTTCACATTTTGCCGCCCATCAATTTTGACATTTTCTTTCTTTCTGTCTTTTTATATTTGTTCACATATGAGTTTATTCCTATCAATATAAGGGACACATTTATCGTCCTCACATGTGTGTACCGTGTAAATAACATAATTTTGAAGCTAAAAAATTATTAGTAAACGAAAATCTCAAACTACCATAGTGAATATGATGAAGAGGCGCGTATTAATAATAGTAATATAGATTTTAAAGATTTTAAGTTTGATTATCCTTCCAAAGTGTATGGTATCAGAGTCCTTCCAAAAGTATCTTCGTATAAATAACTTTTATTTTATTTTTAAAATTTTAAATGATTACTCTAAGAATGTTGAAAAAGAAAAATCAATGGTTTGATTATACATCGAACTTTGTAATTTTTTTGGACGAAGGACATGTTACTTTTATCATAAAATTTATTGGAATTACAATTTACTTAACTTCTTTTTACTATTTTATGTAAAAAGGATTGTGTTAAGTTGTTTATCTTGTTTTATTTGATACTTTTATTGAACTAATTTAGTTAATCATATTACTACATTCTAAAAGTAAATCTTATACTATTATAATTTATAAAATCATGTGACAAAATAAAGATAAATAACTCTCTTAATTAGCTAAACAAACCATTATGCCTTCTAATTTTATCCATTTTATGTGTAAAATTAAGATAAAAATATATAATGTTATTAATTAACTATTATTAAGTGAATAAAATAGTGTAAACTACAGATATCGTGAGGAAGACGTTCCAATTGGTTAAAGAAGGGTAAAAGATTGTGACATACACCACAATATTTGCATATCTTATTCAATTTTTCATGAGTTACTTTTNTGCCCATTAATCTTTACGACTTCACCCAAAAATAAAAAGAAAAAAAGAAAAAAGAAAACAAGTAAATAAGAAAAATGGATATGAGGGTTTAAGAAAGAAAAAAAGGGGAATGCCAAAAACTCTATAACCGGTGACAACAAGACGACGGCAAGAAGAAGAAGAAGAAGCAGTAGCAGCCGAGTGACAGTGAGCCATGGTCTCAGCAGCCACCTGGATCCGATACGTTGTCAGCAAACTTGAATACTCCGCCTCTGTTGGCTGGAAGGTTATTTACTCTCCTTTTTTCTTATAATAATGTAACAATTGATTATTTACATACTATTATTCTAGGGTTGAATCAGTACACGGGTTTTGTAGATACAGCAAATATGTCTAAAAGATTAGTAGGTCTTTCTGGAGAAAGCTATTAACTAATAATTTTTGGGGAATTAGAGGGCTCCCAGGTTTTTAGAATAAAGGTTCTTTTCTTTTCTCTAGTTTTCCTGTGGCAAAAAAAATAAAAAATAAATCTGTCTTTTGACATGATTTTTTTCAACACAACAGGCTTCACAGAAAATTTAATGTCAGCTGTGGAACTTTCATAAAATGCAACAACAACACCAACAACCCAGTGTAATCCTACAAGTGGGGTCTGAGAGGGTAGTATGTACACTTACCCCAGCCCTGGAAGGGCAGACAGACTGTTTTCGATAGACCCTCGGCTAAAGAAAAGATGGAAGAAGCGCTGATAGCAAGAAATAGTAATACAAGATATTTAGAAAACTAAATACAAGATAGCAATAGAGAATATGAAAGAAGTACTGATAGCAAGGAATAACAGTACAAGATATGTATTGATAGCAAACGAAGGGAGTACTACTGGCAAGTAATACCAGTACAAGATATGTGCTAATAGCAAGCTAATGATAAAAGGGATACCATTCTAACACTAATACTATTGAGTTAAGGAAGACAAAGGGAAAAACTCGTCTGCCTACTAACCTTCTACTTTAATTCTTAAACTCCACAAGGGTCATGTGCTCGGTTAGCTCAAGCTGCTCCATGTCCCGCCTGATTACCTCTCCGCAAGACTTCTTTGGCCTACCTCTACCCTTCCTCTTACCCCCAAGGCCAACCTTTTACACCTCCTGACTGGGGTATCTGTACTCCTCCTTTTAACATGGTCGAACCATCTTAGCCTCGCCTCTCACATCTTGTCTTCCACAGAGGCCACTCCCATCTTGTCTCATATAACTTCATTCCTATTTCATAAAATGCAAAAAAGAATATTCATCGGTGTTAGTTCGGAGTTCTGATATTAAAATATGGGAACCTAATGCAACTTTAGTATTAAAAGCTTGCAACTTTAGTAAATTTTTTGAAGCTCTTGCAAGAATTGTCCGGGAATAGAAAAAAGCTATAGCCAAGCTGGTTTGTTTGAATTTCACACCAAGAGGCCCCTTCTCAAGTTAATTATTAGCAGTGCTGCTTTTTACCCAAGTGATCCTCCTCTTCCCTAGGTTCTTGGCTCTCACCTCTCAGTATCGCTCCCCTAAGTACCAACCATGCAAAGAAGCAAACTTTTCTCTGCGGCTTGCGTGTCCAAATCGAGAGATGCGGGAAATCCTCTTTGTTCCTCACCAATAGTTTATGGTAATATGATTTGACTGAGACCCGTCCTTCTATCCCGTCTCCCATCTCCACCTATCCGACATGATATGCGATGTATTCTATTTGCTTAGTAACTCTACTAGGATTTGGAATTCCACCCATCTCCCAATCCCGTAGGTTCCTTCTGAATGTGAGATCCTAATGCACTCCCCTCCATCTTATATCTTTCGAATCTATTGCAATGCTATTTATGCTTTACTTGAGACTCTATATATGTTAGGAAAAGCGATTCTCAACACGTTTTCTTTACGGGACTTGTGTCCCCAAAAACTCATTCTTCTTCCATCACCAACCTTGAAAGTGATGTGGCAAGTGAAGTCTCCCCACCCCTTCATAATATTCCTTTGAAGACCACACCTATATGAAACCGTGATATTCATAGTGATGTGGCAAGTGAAGTCTCCCCACCCTTTCATAATATTCCTTTAAAGACCACACCTATATGAAACCGTGATATTCATACTTTTATATTCCTCCACTCCCCTATAATCCAATACTTTTCTATTATCACCTCCCTCCAAGGAGCGTGCTCCTCTATCCTGAATCTCATAACTATTTCTCAAGCAATGCATTGTTGAACACCCTGAGGTTTTTCATTCCAAATCCTCCCACTCTATCGGGATGTGACAGCCTTCCCATTCACTAAGTGATATTTCCCAATTCATAGGGAAAAAACAGTTTCATACATGACTGAATATATTTTTCTCCTATGAGCTTGTCTTTTGGCGCTTTTTGTTATGAGATTTTCTAGCTAGTTATAGGTCTGCTACTATATTAGTTCAACCTACTAAGACATATTGATCTTTTAAATCTTTTGACGAAAATTATGTTTGAATACATAGTTCCATTCAGTTATGAGACTTGGTCCTTGGATTCCACTCGACACTTCTCATGAATCTTGGATAATCTGTATGTTTTCTTTGCTATCATGCTTTTCGTTGACATGGTTCAGCTGAAATTGAGTTACTATCTGACAACATTTGAACCAAGTTACTGAAAGTAGGAGGTAATCTTGCAAGAATTGTTCCTTATGCATGTTCTTGATGCCTTTTTAATGATAACACCTTACTTAATATTTTTTTTTTTGCAAGATCTGTAATACAGCAAGGAAACATACAAGTTTTAGAATCCCCCCTATATGACGCGAGAGCGTGACTGTGCTCTAACTTAAGCTGCAATTTTCTATGTTAAAACTTATCCCTTAAATAACTAGAAATCAGTAATTACCTTCTTAACTTTATCTTCATGAAAACATAAACCTGATATTATAGTAAAGTAGCGATTTGAACTTGGTGCTCAAACTTTGGAAACTTGAGTTCCAGCATAGAGGAGGAGTACTAATAAATGCAGGTCTTGTCACCTTTGGAATCCTATAATCAGTAGCTTTGCGTACGTTTGGAAGTCCATACTTTCCCTAACTTAAAAGGAGTGGTGAACCAACTTAGTCTTGGAAAGATTACTACTCATGGGGGAATTTAAGTAATACTGACTGGACTGCTCAAGACTATGAGAGAAACAAATCTGACCTTTTAATTGTGCTAAAGATTTACTAAACTAATACTTGTAAAGCTACAATATGCAAGTCAAAACATTCTATAATCATCAATAAATTAAGAATGTTAAAGTTAAAGACACAAGCCGCGTGAGATCAAGTTTCCATATTCTGAATTATCATCTGCTCTTCTGCACTTAAAATCAGTCAAGCTTCTACTTTTTGAACTTTTATTTATTTACTTTTACTTCTTGAGTAGAGGGAAAAAGATTAACTGAATATTAATGCTATGCAGAACTACAAAGGAGGTCAAATTACAGATAGAGAATTAGGCGATACCATATGGAAGAATTTCTTTCAGGGTAAATTGACATTTATGCACTTTAACAAAGGAGAGGAGATGGCACCCACACTCGGAGCTCAGGGCGGCACACTTCTTGTTCGGAAGATACCTTGGGTTGATCCAACGTAACTTCTCCTTTAATGCCTTATGCATGGTTTTCTCTGCCTTAGTTCTGGAATACACTTTTGCTTTGATCTCTTTTCTTTTATTAGTAGCGTGTTTACTTGAAGAATCATTAACAAGCAAGGGAGAATCGTTTTACCATTAGTAATATTGTTCTTTTGCTACTACTTTTATGGTTTTATGGCATTTTCAAGTGAGAAATTGGTTTTCTTGCTCATAGTTATAATAAAGGAAACTGTACAATTTAGGTTTGTAGTATTGATAGTTAATGAGTTATTTTTCTTTATAACAGTAGTGTTGGAGCTAGTTTTCACACATCTCGATTAATCTTCCATGTATATGTTACCTTCACCAACACAAGTATTGGTGCAAGCTGGAATGGTATTCCAAATAATCTCCTTTGTTAGCTTGCAGCTTTCCCAGCAACAAAACAGTTCTTTCGGGGGTCTATGCATCACCACACTCAACTCAAATATCTGCAGAAATAGTTCTCACAGATGTCTGCAGTATAGAAATAGTTGGTCATAGTCCTCCACATTAGTTAATCGATTACTTCCTTGCTAAAGCTTTGTTACATTTGAATTTGCCAGCTACATTTTCCTACTCATGCACTTTACCGAAGGAAATGTTACTTTGTTCTGGCGTATAGACAATCAAGCTTAAAATAATTGCTGTTGCTGCTTATGTCTTCATCACCGTTGGTCATGCTGTTGGCCTAACTATTGACTAAAATTAGGGGTTCAATGGCATATATGATTTGGAGAGTTGTGCGATGAGTCTGTTTTCCTTTTCTTCTTATCCTGGACAAATTTTATGAGCAAGGAAATCTTACCACCATAAATTGCTGTAGGGAGGTGATCACACTGCTATCTTATTGTTTATGTTCATTTTACTTTGCCTCTTTGTTTTAATAAATTAGTTGTTTCCCTTCTGGTGGAAGCGATTATGTGGATCTGTTTCTGCATATGTTCCTCTTTGCTATTGCTGACTTCATATCTGTGCTTTTCATAGGAAAGTATTTGTTGGGGATGTTGTGGTTCTCAAGGACCCTGTAAAGTCAGATGATTATCTTGTCCGTAGATTAGCTGCCGTTGAAGGCTATGAGATGGTGTCCACTGATGAAAAAGATGAGCCCTTTGTCCTTGAAAAAGATCAATGTTGGGTGCTGGCTGACAATGAAAACGTGAAACCTAAGGTATATGATCCTCGCAATAGATTGGCTTTCACCTCCAGAATAAGATATCATGCGACTGTATTCTCTCAAATCTTCTTTTGCTCAAATTGTGAACCTTGTCTTATGCGCTTCATGTTACGCTTTTTGAATAGTTTGCATATTGCAATATGGTATTTTATTCTAACAGTCCTATAATATGTTTGTCATATCCTTGTCTTTGGTTCAGCATCTGTTTGAGCGTCATTACTCATGTTTTANGCCTCAAATTGTGAACCTTGTCTTATGTGCTTCACGTTATGATTTTTGAATATTTTGCGTATTGCAATATGGTATTTTAGTTTTAACAGTCCTATAATATGTGTCATATCCTTGTCTTTGGTCCAGCATCTGTTTGAGCGCCATTTACTCATGTTTTTATTATATTTTCTGTATATGTGATCTGAGTCTTGACTACTCATTCCCCGCATAATGTTGATACAATACTTTTGCAGAAAAAATTGTGAGTATGTATCAAAGTCTAGATATATGTTATAACTTTAGAGTTTTTTTCCCCATAACTGGAACCTTAATTTGCCAGTGGTCTTATGTATTAGTTTAAGTTTACCTTCTCCGGGGATTCTTTTAAGGTGCTTGCATAGAGTGAGTAGTGAATCTGAACAAACCTATAATGAGATGTGTGTATGTCAGCTAAAACTTCAGCATTTTCAATGAGAAACTCTTTGAATTATGGTGAAGAGGTAAGTTTATTAAATGAAATAAACTTCTGATGAATACTTGAGCTAAGTTTTCAGTTTTTCAGTGGCTGCAGATTAAAATAGGACTTCTGACTTGCCCCCAGAGCTTTGGTCTAGTGGTAAGAGCGCAACTCATGATGTGTGGGTTATGCGCACGTTACGAGTTCGAACCTTGCTGCAGACAGAAGCCTGGTATTTAAGTGGAGAAGGGTAGAGGGGTGGGTCCATTAACCAGCGGTTTCAACTCATGCGCCTCTGGACCCTTAGGAATTTCTGGGTTATCCGAAAAAAACAAACAAACAGGACTTTGACTTTTGAGTATATAGTACTGTATTATTCATATTATAGTCATAGTTGGGCTTGCTTCCTCATGCTTTGAGGGAAGGATAGCAACTGCACAGATATTATTGTTATATTAATATTGATTGACTCTAGGTTATTTTCTTGCCTTCTCAATAGCAGGAAGCCAAGGATAGCAGAACTTTTGGCCCTGTTTCCTTGACGGACATAGTTGGCAGGGCTATATATTGCCTGAGGACAGCAGTGGACCATGGTCCTGTTAACAACAGGTTTGTTGTGTTATTGCAAATCTGTTTTTCTTGTCCATCGGAAAAAAAGCTTTCTTATTGATTGTGGTTAATCTGTGTCTTGCTTTATCAGTAACTTTAGCGTCCAGAAGGATTCACCAGTCCTTGAAGTTGAACTGGATGTTGATGAGATGGCACGAAGTCACAAAGCATAGGTTGTGTGCTTTGAGGAAAAGATATCCTAGGATTACTGATTTGGTTGTACCCACTTTTTCTTGTTTCCTCTTATTTATCCGAGCGAAATTCATTGGAAAAAATAAAAGTTGTGTATTAGTGATTTTGGTACATTTTCCTTTGACCAGATGCTGTCATCCTAAGTGTTGATCTTTCCTCTCAATGAGGCGCCGTACGAACTGTAAACCTTTGAGGGCTTCAGTTCTATTTAGAACGTATTTCAAGGCTGAAACTGTTGTATGGATGAAGTTTGGAAAAGATATATCAATATGATTCACTTTCGTCCGGGTTGTGGCCAATTGACAAAGAAGACAGTATTTATTAAAGTAGCTTGAACATTCCTTTCACAGACCCATTATCAACAATACACTAATACAGCACGACTTGGCCCATTCCCCAAACATCAGAAGAGAGGTCTCACTGTAACTCCTTGTTTTGGTTTTATAGTAGCACTTTCTTGAACAGTTTTTCCTGACTTTTTGTAGTGTGTTTTTGCTTGTCCGTTAGGGGACATCCAACAAAATTTAGACGATAGCATGGCGAAGGATGACCGTAATGTGCTGTTACTTAACTAGGTCATGTTTCCGTTGCACCAAGGGTGGCCTAGTAGGCAATGAAGTGGGTGCTAAGCAAGTCAAAAACGAAACTCTGATAATTCTAAGAATTTTGAAAAGAAAATTTCTCTATTATAAACGATTTACTAGATGACGTGTGCCTGTGCTTATTTTCGAAGTTGTCGTTTTCTCTGTAGCGAAATGATAATGTATAGCAGTTGTAAAAATAATAGTCAAAAAAATATATAAAATTTATATATTTTTTGTATATATATACATTATGTTATATATAAATTTTATATACTTTTCGGTTACCAGATGTAAATAATTTCTGGCGCAGGCTAAAAATGATAATATCCCTTATTATCGCTTGTACTAAGCCTGTATATATGCCTTTAAATTGATGTCGTATTCAGAATATAGCTTTCCACTAAAAATACTGTAAAATGGTAAATGTGACGACCTTTGATATTTAATAGTGATAAATCTGTTAATGATTTCCATTAAGTCAAGGTACGGCATCACTGCCTTTAATGTACCATATAGCAAAATGAAAAAGACAACATGCATTTCCACACGCTCAGAAAGAAGCAAAAATTTAAACTTATAGTAGAAACAGAGTAGTAGAGAAAATCAATGGTTTAATGGAGAGGGAAACCATCTTTTAAGAAAACCTTTTCCTTCTGATTTCCTGAATTGTTTTGTACTTTCGCTACTCTTTTTTTATGATAAATTTCTTTCGTTTTTTCTTAAAATAATCTTTCGAAGTTACCAACTCTTTTTGGTATAATTCTATGACAAACTCGTAGCACCTTGGCTTTCCATACCAACTTCTTCTGCAAATAATTTTCCAACATAACCAATCATGTCACAAGTTATATCACTTGTGAAATTAAAATTTAAGTAATAGTAGCTATACTAAATTTAAGTAATTTAAGGATAATAATAGCTGACACATGGAGTTATGGAGGTGGATCGCTTGTAATTTAACTTTTATTTAATAACAAAAATCATAATCCAACTTCGCGTAGACGATTTTTAACTTATTTATATTTTCCCGTTTGTGACGTCAAAAAGGAAAAGCATGCATTATCAGAACAAGACGAGCACTTTGGATTCAGCTATATTCACGAACTTTTTCTTTTCTTCACGTATATGTATAGGTTTGAGTCTTCCTATCTAGCTCTATCTATAAGATTTTTGTTTATCACCAATCTTAAAATTATCTTTTATCAACATTTAGTAAATTACTTGAAATATACGCTCAAACGATTTCGCTATCTACTTACACAATTGATTACAACCTTATAAGAAGAAATTATGGTAAAAAGATTAAGGTGTGTTTGCTACGAAGGAAAATGTTTTCATGGAAAATGAGTGATTTTATCACTTATTTTTCCTTATTTAGTAGGTGAGTAGAAAACTTTTTCCGGAAAATATTTTCTAGTGTTTGGTTATAGAGTAGAAAATATTTTTTTTATGTTACTCTCCTCACCCCCTTCCCCCAAGTCCCCGTGTTTCCTTGCTCCCCCTCAAATACCCAACGTTCATGATTCTATTTTCTTCAACAATTTAATTATTCTTCTAAAAATTCAGACAAACCCAAAGTAACTAATGCGATGCTTTACTTTTTTACGCAAAACAACGTTGAAATTTATGATCCATAACTATAAAGAAAATACTCTTTTTTTGGTTGAAAAAGAAAGTACTCTTTCTACAACATGAAAATAAAGCAATCATTTTATTGAAATAAATAAAAATACTTTTTCTACGTCATAAAAAGAAAATACTCATTTTGTTGAAATGAAAGATAATACTTTTTCTACATCATGAAAAGAAAATACTCATTTGTTGAAATGAAAAAAAAATCTATCTATAACATGAAAAGCAAGTACTATTAATAATATTTTTATTTAGGAAGGGGGTATGGGGTGAGGGCGGGGTTGGGGTGGAGGTGGGATGTGGGTGGGGATGGTTTGGTGGGGATGGGGAATAGGGTGGGGAAGGTGGAAAATGTTTTCCTTATCTTAATAGGGAAAATATTTTCCTCCAATTTGAGGAAAATGAGTTCATGAAGAAAATATTTTCCAAAACATTTAAACTAACCAAACATGGGAAAATTAGAAAACATTTTCTGAAAAATATTTTCTTTCATACCAAACACACCCTAAGAAACCTAAAACTATAAGAAACTAAAACTGTAAGGGGTTAAAGTGATACATACAAAACCAAACGGGCTGCGTTTGACTAAAATTTGAAATTACGCGATATTCCCCTTCTGACCCCTACGAAAATGGTCAATATATCTAAAACCTCCCCTTATCAGGGAACGATATATAAAAGGCAACAGAAGCTAAAGCTAGTATAGAGCCGAACAACGAAAATGCGAAAGTCTGATTGAGACTGAAGACACTTTCCTATGTTTTCTCAAGTTCTAAAAATGTCTAGCGCCATTGATTTCACTCCCAGGAATCTTCCAGGTAAATATGTTTTTTCCATGTTCTTTTTCCCGTTTATGATGTCCCATTTGTGCGTATAAGGTGTTTGATGAAATGCTTGTGTTAACAAGTGGAGGTCTTTTTGATTAGTGTGCTTTTATTAATGCCCTAGCTATGTCCAACCACTGACCAGTTTACTACCGGGGCGTGTGGTGGATGGTTGAGATCCCTCCACTCTTAACTTCGAGCCTGGGAATGCAGAACTTATTGGTAGGAGGCTTTACCCTTAGTTGGGTTTACCTGACGCGAATCTGGATTATCTGGGGGAGTGGGTTCCAGATGGTTAAACTTAAAAAAAAGAAAGAACACTAACCCTAACCGGTTTAATTAGGGCAAGTCCTTAATAGCCACTACAGACAACAACTCTGTTTCAATACAAAACTAATGGGTTTGGCTATTTGAATCCTCTATATCCATTTTGCTCTAGTTGGACGCTTTCATTCTGATACTCAGTAATAAAGAAAATTTTAGTGCTGTTTATTGTTGAGGCTATTGATAAATAAATGAACAAGAAGTCCTTGTCACGGATTCTTATGTCAATGCAGTTTACTATTGGCTGCAATTGATTAAGCTAAAGTGGTTCAGCTTCTTTTGAATAGTGTAAGCAGTGGTTTAATTTACATTTTCATGAAATATTTGAAAATGTGAAACTCTCTGGGTGGCGCGGCGTGTTGGGGGTGTTTGAGGTAGCAAATATGCAGAATTATTGGCATGCATAGCAAATTATTGGCTCTTCTTGAAGTACAGTTTTCTTTTAAAACTCCACAAGCTCCTATCTAGTGGAACTTATATTTTCTTTAGATCCTTTTTAGTTTTTAGATCGTCCAACTTTCCTTGAAGTTCACACATCAGCTTGATCATCTAAACATAACCGAATGAAAGCTTTATAGGTGTGCCTGGCCACGCCAAGATCTCTTCCAACCTTATTTTCTTTCCGCAAGGTGCTAACAGTAGCACAAATGTTCTCTTGTTCACAATATATTTCTTTATGCCCATTTCGGTTGTCTTTCTGCTCTTTCTGGAACTCTTTGCCCCCCTCACTTTAGTGTATGAATTATATGCATCGTGGGTATCGAGATATGATGACTTCTGGGTTATTTTTATTGCAATCGTCATTGTCGTTATTTTTACTACTACTGATTCTGTTAGCCAACAACAGTAAATATCATTTAAAATGTAAATGCTTCTTATGGAAATAGAATTAATGACCTTTTCAATTCTTATTGATAGATAGCTGTTGGACATCTATAGATAAAATGTAAAGCATATGAACGAATCTGATATAACATTGTACAGTTGTCCCAAAGAATGCTCTTTAAACGGTAAATGAAAACTCTTACTTGGAAAAAGATGTGAAAAGTATCTGCTCTGAGATTATGTATCTTATTTCCTATGCAGCTATGATCCTTTTCTTAGTCACCCTTCCATATGAAGGGCAAGATAAGTTTTAAATTTCTGCCAATGTGAATGCATCTTCCATGACCTACAACATGCTGATTATTCCGTCAACAAAAAAATACAGCTATCTTAGAAACATCCTCTAATGCATAATCTGAGTCTTTACTCAAAAAACAAAAATCTGTGTCTTTCTTATATCCATAAAGTCCTATATAAAGACTTATAAGATATATGCTATTATTGTTCTATTTCAGGGTTTGGTTCCCCAGAAGGTAGTTGTCTTCCCTGCTCAGGACTATCAGGGAGAGCAGTCACCTCTCGTGGTGAATATAAGCACTTTTCGAAGGTCAAGATTTTAAATTTGAAATCTCCTTACAAGAGTAAATCTTTTTTATGTAATGCTAGCTTCAGCAATCATAAAAGAAATCCAGATTTTTCGAGGCAAAACAAGTTTTCCAGGGGCAGGAACAGGCAAAATGAAGAGAGAGACAGTTATGATAATTTAGAAGAATCTGAAATGCTATCTTCACGAAATGGACCACTGCTTACTGCATCAAACACTTCAAAATTCCAAGCTACAGCCACTCCAGGTCCAAGGGAAAGGGAGATTGTTGAACTATTCAGAAAGGTCCAGGCTCAGCTCCGGGAAAGAGCTGCAATCAAAGAGGAGAAAAAATCTGAAGAGTTGCAAGGAAAGGGTAAAGAGAGTGAAACTGTTGATTCCCTTCTCAAGCTTTTAAGAAAACACTCAGTTCAGAAAGGGAAGAAAACCAACAGCAGTAGAAGCAGCAACTTTGTCCTTGACCAGTCAGATCAGAGCAATGTATTCTCTGAAGAGAGAGCTGGCAATAACACTGAACTAAATAGCAATGTGAACCATGTGGCACAAGATAGTGGGACCCCAGTTGTTAACCGGCCGAAGTCAAATTTCCAACGTAGATCTCCAGTTTCCCGAACCAAATTTCAGCCTGTTTATCACGAGGGAGGTACGGATAACCTTGTTGCCTGTACTGCTACAGATACGACAGAAAAGGACATACATCTGGACCCTGAACTTAGCCGAATTCCCAAAAATAAGGTTGATTCTAGTGCTCATTCTGACATTGAGCCGATTTTCTCAGATGAAGATGTGTTTGATGAGATGGCTGACGATGATGCTGCCAAAATGTTTGAAAATGTTGATGCTAATGATGAAGAACAACATCAGGTTGGTGAGGAATTAGCTGAAATGAAGCTGACTGAACTGCGAGCTATTGCTAAGTCTCGTGGTTTGAAGGGATACTCAAAACTGAAAAAAGTAGAGCTCATTGAGTTGCTAAGTGCTGATCAAGTCTGATCTTTTTGTTTCACAAGTGATGATAGATTGTAGAATGTTCTTGCACATTAGTCTTTTAATTTCTACATCCTGTTTGTCTTACACTGTACTTTTTCTCTTGATGATGGTTTCTAGTCAGATTGGACAATTTTGTATACTTCATATATGTAACAGTTTCTGCGTTCAATACATGTTTGACTAGTTTCTTATACTTTTTGTGTCATATCATTTGGCAGATTCACCATTTCCGTTGGTGTATATTCTGATTCTCTGGTAACTGTTAAACTAGTCTATCTTAGATGCTTTTGACTTCAGCAAAGTTGGTTGCCTAAATTGGAGAGACGTTCTGGGCCTCTGGGATGTGCAGTTGTGCCGGTTATTTATCTGCTTTTTTTTTTTTTTTTTTTTTTTTAAAAAAAA